TTTCACTCAGCCCTGTGAATATAAACTTCCTTTGTCACAACTCTCACAGAGCCTGCCTTCTGAATTACAACTCAACTTCTGAACAATGTAGCATTATCATTGCTTGCTGGAAGCAATGCATGATGGGCTATGTAGTCTTGAGAAATGGAGATTGCATCACATCAAGCAGCAGGGAAGAGACGAAAAGCACCCCGGGAATCCAGGAAGTTGGTGAAACTGATGGGCAGACAGAAGGCAGCACTCACTACATAAAAGGGATTTCTAGTAAGCTTTGATTGCATTATTAAAAACAACTCTAGTATGTATTCCTATTACAGTGCTCATATTATAACAGGATAGTATATGCTGCGGCTTTACAACTCCTTTAATGAAGTGGGGTCGTGGGGGGCCAGGGAATAGTGGGGACTGATTGTTAATATGAGCAAATAATAATACACTATAGTTACAACACCATGTTTTTGTTGTTAACTGAAGCCTATATGATTTATGGCTGAGCAGACAACATATAGTTGAAGTGTAGGTCAAGCCAAAAACTTTTTTCTCTAGCTTTGGAAAGAGTGGAAAGCATTAGACCCCCTTTTAGGCTTTTACTGCTATCCAGGGCTCCGCAAGAGAGATTTAACCTCACTTCCTGTCCTGCTGTCAACAGTATCACTAGACAGGAAATGATGGAAAAACTACAACGGGCACAGATAGAAATATAAATCTGACAGTGGTTCTAGCCTACACACACACTATAAAGGAAAGCATTTTTACTTGTCTGTGTTGCTGTTGGAGAGTTAATTTCACTAACTGTCTGGTAAGACAGGAAGTGAGGGGACATCTAAAAAGGAGTTGTGGATAGCAGATAAAACCTGACAAGGGTTTTAACCTTTCCCCAATCTATTCAAAACTAAGTAAAAAAAAGTTTTGGTTGAACATATACTTTACAGATAGTTATGCAGACTATGCCTGCTGTAGTCATCCACCCTAGGGCCAGGTGGGGGAGTGTCCAAGAGGCCTAGCCACAGCCTCATCAGCTTTAATAGGACACATTAACAGCCCTGACCCCAAGATTTGAGAATTTATCTGTTTAAACCAGCCCTTTCCTTTGCCAATTGTTACGGAGACAATTGCCAAATATAAACTATTCAGTTTATAAATAGGTCACCAGTATAAACAAAGTGAACAAAAACTGTGCGTAAAGTGTATTTTCACTTTTGCAGTCAAATTTGAGAAAAACCCTCTACAGGTTCGTTATGTGATCCCATTCACACAGCATACCATATTTTTTTATATTTCTTACATTTTAGATGTTTTGTTGCAGCAGACAACGTGGCTGATTCCAGGTTTTTCTTAGCACCTTCACAGTGATCTGTTCTAATAGAAAGACTTAGTACTGAAATTTGAGGAGTGCTTCTCTCATTACCATACAGTGGAGAAGCCAACTTCGTAACCACTCACAGTCCCTTCTAACATTACAAAAGTAGGAGAAGCAAGTAGACATTTTAACCTTTTGCCTATGCTATATGAATGAGTTTTTGCCTATGCTATATGAATGGGTTTTTGCCTATGCTATATGAATGTGTACATGTAACAAACATAAAAAACAGGTGTTATCCAATTTGGCTGCAAAAGTGGAAATACACTTTAAGTCTATCTTCCGAGACCCAGTTATTTCCCTCTTGAGTCCTGCCATTCTCGCACAGGATAGAGAAGGTCAGGCTATCATCAAAGATACCTCAGCCCACCCTTTGAGAATTGTGTGTCATGGCTCTCTGCATACATTTAGGGGGGTGGAGAGTTGAAATTAAGGCTTAGCTATTGTCTAAATTTGCATTAGTAACAGCACAGTTTAGTCTAATTAGGCTGCACATTTTAGACAGGGGAGGCGTGTGTTTTAAATGACCACCAGAGCAGATTATGACGCAACCACTATATTTTTATAGAGGAATGGAAAGGCTTATATTAAGGACCCATTCACACTTGCAATTGGGGCCAGTTCACTGACTTTCCTGAATTTCTCGGTGAAACCCATGCAATCAGCTGTGAGGACGGAAGGTGCTTTACAATGACTATAACAGTCCACGGCTGTTCGCAGGCCGTCTACATGTAAGTACTGTAAATACTTATGGATGATCGCACCTGGACGCAGGCTGTATGTGTCGAGGTGGAGGAGCCTTGACACCCTGGGCTCACAGTTAGTGAGCAGTTGTGATCTGTGGCAGCTGTATTGTATAGCATCTCCCACCTGCAGCTGAACGCATTAGTTTCACAGAAGAATTTGTGGGACTCAGCAATCCGGCCCCATTTGCAAGTGTGAATGGGGCCTAAAAGCACGTTGTAGTGCTTCCAGGCGGCTTCATAAACAAGTGAGAATGCAAAAGCAAGAAGCTGCCTTAACTATATTGTGATCATTTCATCTCTCTCATTCAGCCCCGTGGGACTGTTAAGCATGGATGGGGGAATCCCCCCACTGGGCTATCGTATTCTAACAGTGGTGGGTGTGCCTGAACTGTGATTCCAGCCGACTAGCTGCAGTTACTGTTTAGTCAAGACATTGTGACCTTTCATCTGCATGTGACATTACATAGTTCGAATTTTGGCTGACCCAGAAGGAATTCGAGACATGGGTGGCCCTGTAAACACAACCCGGCTCAACAAAAGCCAAGTGGAAAATTACTGGTCGAAAAGTGACTGCATCTGATAGGTCACATTTCAGCCAATAATTTTCCACTTGGCTTTTGACAAGATGTATTAATCAGTCAGTCTTTAAAACTGAGAAACCAACACAAAGATCAATAAATTGAAGCTTACTTTTATTTCAGAAATGCCCTTTTGCATCGCAAAGCCAATGCATGTTTATGTGTAACATATGTATTATATATATATATATTTATATAACATTATTAATAAAATAATAATAAAAGACTGCCATTAACGCCTTGCTAGCAGAGAGGCCTGCAGAGAACTGTTTGTACGTTCTGTAACTGCTTTGTACTTGGTTGGGGATCCTCTTAAAGGATATGATTAAAGCTTTGTAATGATCAATGCAAAGTCTGGCCGCTAGAAAGGTCTGTCAGTTTGAAGGCAGTATGTTTTAAAATACATTTTAAGTGTACCTGCCCTATATACAAAGGGGTAGCAGTCATTTTGTGATGTCGGACAGTACTGCTGAGAATGTAGGCCAGTAGTGGGCAAGCTGTTAGATTTTAGAGGCCTGAAATGCCAAAGGCATGCACCTAAAAGAGGAAAAAAAAAAGGTTTGGCCACAGTTCTCTTTAGGGTCACAGGAGGATATTTACTAATGTCCTCCAATGACCCAAAACTCAGCATATAGCGGGCTATTGCCCGCTGTATGCTGAGAGCGCAAAGCCCCTCTACAGCCAGGGAAAAATACCGACAATAATGTCAGGATCCACCCCGCTGCCCGATTGACAGCTGGCTCTGCCTCTCTAGAAGCAGAGCCAGCTGTGCCCGCCCTCATCCCATCTGTCCCTTCAATGAGCGCTGGAGGAACAGAGAATCACTGCGGGGGATGACGACTGACAGTCGCTACTTTCTGAAGGGAGAAGATGGCAAAATGAGTGGTTTGTGATCGATCAGTTCTCGATCTATCGAGCCGACGTGTGACAGCTTCAGTGTCATACGTCGGCTCTAACTAGGGGATGAGTGTATGTCACTCATCCCATAGTTCTCCTTTAATATTAGTTCTAAATTGGCTTATCAATGAAGGACAGTTTTGTTATTGTCCTTTAACTTGGGACCTTTCTTGAAATGCAATAAGACTAAATATCAATATTAAACCTACTAGTGCTAGATGCCTGTGAACTACCTGATAGCACTCCTTGTGCTAAGTATCCTAAAACACCCAGTAATCTGTCAAATGCAGCAATGTTGCAAGATCAGATTTTATTCTGGGATGTGTGTGCTTAAAAATTGCAAAGATGTCGTGTGAAGAAATAAATATATATATATATCTGTTCACTATTATTAGGCCATCACGGAAGCAAAGATGTAGCCTATCAATTTACTAACAACTAGCAGTATTACTGTGACATACTGGTCCAGCTCAAAGAAGGGTTTACCAGTTTAGCTTGGTTTAGATGCCTCCACTGTGCATAGTTGACAGGTACACTTTAATGTCCGATAACAGCAGAACAATTTATTCATACATACGAACAGATTCTTAACGCTCATTCTGAAAGTCTTGTAAAAAACATTTTTTTTGTTTGGCAAACTGTTAACCTACAGTTGTGCGAAGACATTAGGAAATATAGCAAAACAATAAATTAGATAGGAAAAAAAAATGTACAATATAAAATAAACTGTCTATAGTGTTGTAAGCCACTGTAAATGGTATTTAAGAATGAATGCCCTATATACTTGACCTAATATCATACCTCTGAGTCTGGCAATGAGAAGTCTGGGAATAAGATAGAACCCTCAGTGCCAAGAGTCAAAGAATAACATTCATAGCTGCAAGTATGTAACCACAGTGAGGAGAGGCAGGCAATGTGATACATACGTGGTGTGATTAACAAGAGTCTGCGGAGTCTGTAAATGACCAAAGAATCAATTACTAATACTGAGCCAGTTCTCCTATTTTGGATCCTTTTAGATTAGACACTGTGCTATCAAAGACCTTTTGATTGTGAATTCTGCACTGGCCCTTTCAAATCCGATAACTCCACTACAGATTACAGATGTTTCCTATAAAAATGAAACTTAGTGGACCGTCCGCCCACTAAGCTGCTAATTAAAACAGCATTTTTGCTTTTAATGTATGAAATGAAATTTGGAAGCAATGTCAGTAAACGTCCATAAACAAACAGCAGAGTGAAATGGTTGCTGCAGAGTGTGGAAGAGTAAATGAACCATTTTATATAGACATTTATTGCTCTTAGGCCAACACAACCCAAGCTGAGCATGCCTAAATGTCCTTGTGCAGTCTGATTCTAAACAGTTACTAAAAATCGTCTATTATGCTCAAAAAGCCAACAAGTAATTCTGTTCTGGTAGAGTCCGTGCATTTTAAACACAACCGAGGACAGCTTAAGAAAGAACTGCCTCCCCTAACTTGACAGACAAAGTCTCTTGAAGGAATGTATAATACTACATTTTGGATTTACCTTTGCTGTGGTTACTTTGCAGATACACATGCAGCAATATGTCATCTGTCGGTTCCTGCTATGACGTGGCTGAACTGAAGGACAGACCGACAGACAGACAGACTGATGCAGCGCAACATTCACATGTATCAACACTTAGTGTTACAGGCACAAATAAAAAAAGACAATCAGGCCCCCGAAGGCAGCAGCTAGGATGTTGGCACGATATGTGCTTTGTGTGGGTATCATAGCGATTTGTGATGAGTGGTCCGAGCAGCCGTAAGGTGCACACATTGCTAAGGCACTAAGAAAACATGACCAAAAAAAACTTTGTCCACGTCACTTCTGCTGCCTTGACACAAGCTGCAGCCTGAGTTACTGTAAGCTGAAATGATCTGTAAAATGCCTGTGCCAAGCAAAGGGCACAGGTAAGCATGGTGATGAGCCTTAGCTCATGTATAAAGATGCAGGTCCTAGTACAGACTGGTGTATGGGTAGAAGACACTGGGCAGTGAAAACACTACAATGTTCCTCATATCACAGAGCTGTTTGATTCACTGGTAAAGCCTCTGCGTATTCCTCACACAAGAATGCGTATTCCAATTTTCCAGATGGAGAAGGTTACGGCACACCAGGCCTGATCGATGTTCAGGTTTCAAAGTATTTGTAAATTGCTGTAACGTATGTCATAAGACACTGCCAATCCGGTCGCTCTGTTCGTACCATCTCGTTAATGTCCTGCAATTGACAAATACCAGAAAAATGATGATTCTGCATGAAAACAAAGATTGTTTATAAATCCATAGATCATACAGTCAATCGCTATCTCTTGGCTCCTAAGCTTACCAGAGTAGACTTGATGCCTACACTTTCAGCTGCTTGAAAGGCCAATGTGAAATTTCTCCTCTGTGAAAAGAAAACAAATTCAGATCTGTGATTGTCCAAGCACAGAGCAATCAGAGGCAAGTGTGTATTGCTTTGTATTATTACGGATGTAATACCAACGAACAGTCCTGTGTTACCTTGTCCTGATTGCCCAGCTCCTGGTATGGAATGTGGGCAGGAAGATATGTGTGCAGCAAAGCACAGAAGGCCAGGCCATCGTTCCAACTGCTACTGAAGTTTGTGATGTCGATATTCTAAAACAACAGGAAACAAATTTAAGGACACACACATAAAGGTAATATGGAAAAAGAGGACCGAAAAAAGGTAAACTTCAGACAGACAGTAAAAGTCACATAAATGCAGCTCTTCATTACCAAATGATTACAGTAGAACTATAGGCAAAGTAAAGTCTAAAAAAAAATAAAATAAGTTCCAATACATCTCTTTAACCCATTTCCTCTTGCAATCCCTTTATTAACCTTCCTCAGCACAATGCCCCGTGCTTAGGATCATCAAGCAGAACTAGCATCCGTCAGTCAGATACCGCTATCAGGAACCAGTGCTCATTATTTATGATCACGTGGTCGCTATCATAGTGACCAGATGGACTGGAGTTCAAGAAACAAAGGCGTTCTGGTGAAAGAAGGAATTCAAGTGCAAAGCAGCAATAAATGAACTGTCACATTTTCAAACA